CGCCTACGTTCCACCACATCTACGTAAACCAGGTTGATTTTCCAGTCATCGTGTTTCAGAAATTTTAAAGATGCAAACAATAAGTATTCCTGGTTAGGAGATTGAAAAACGGCGGGAGCTAAAGCCTTCGATGTGTTAACATGTACAGTTTGTTTGACGCTTTCGGCTCACCGTGGAGAGGAACACAATCGAATTTTGAAAGTTTAGGAAAAACTGGAAGTGCCATTTAGATCTTCCAAATAAGCAAGCCTGTATGTACATTGAGCTGGTATCCTGTCTATGTTTCATCCCTGAGCTGTAAACAAAGACGGCAGAATATTGCCCCTTTCACTTTACTTTACAGAATGGTACTTTTAGCGGGTAAAATACACCAGCAAAGTCTAGGAATGGCAACGTTTTGAACGAAATGGTATTGCGTTACGTGCATAAAGAACATCTTGGAGCAGCTAAAGTTTTGATACTATACGGGTATTTGCTGATTTGGTAATTCCTCCGGACATAAGCGGATCCAAGGGAAGGAAGGAGGGAGGGGGAAGGGGATTGCGGGGCGATGGGTCTTTCCAGCGGGACAGGCATCAGTGCTAGAAAAGTCCAGGTTTAAAGCTGAAACTTAAGAAAACTCTGTTGTGCATCTCCCATCACCCCCCTCCCCTTGCCAGGAGCCCCACGCCCCTCTTCTCCCCCCTCCCCCCCTTCCCATCCTCCCTACCGCCCTATCTCTTCCAGAAAGCCACCTTGGACCCGTCTATGCTCCCGAAAGAAGAAATGAACAGCATTATCGTCACTGCTATTCGGTACAGCATTGGTCAAAGTATCTGAAAGTCTCTTCTCCCCGCTTCTTGATCATCTCCGGTGGAGAATACATTAGTGTTGAACCAGAAACCAAAGTAGATAGAGCCGTTCCAGGAGATGATCTTTGTGGCCAATCTTTATGAGGAAATGACTTGTTTATCCCGGTTCTTAAACTGTAGATTGTTTCAGGATCCACGAAAGGTGCCTTGCAAACAGCTGCTGCAGTAAAAGCTCCCATTCCCGAAAAAGAAAAGAAGGTAATTTTTTGAGCTTTCAGTTTTCATATTATTCATAAATTTCTTTGTTTCCACATCCTCATCCACTCGGAGCTGGAATTCTCGGGATCAGAAAGCGGCAGTTCTTTTTGTAAACCGTGGCTCCTGCAGTATCTCGTACACTTTGTTCAACCTATGAAATCTGAGGGGAGCTATTTGAATTTCGTGCAGATCGTA